CGGTTAAGCAGCAGACTCTTGACTTTGCCTCAGGTCGCAATCTCATGGTTCCTGAGTTCAAGCCCCGGATTGGGCTCTGCATTGACAACACAGAGCCTGCTTGGGATTCTCTCTCTCTCTCTCTCTGCTCCTCCCCCGCTCATGTTCTCTCTCTCTCTGCTCCTCCCCTGCTCACGTTCTCTCTCTCTCTCACTCACTCACTCTCAAAATAAACAAGTAAACATTAAAATAGACAAATATATAAAATTCCAGCCAGGAAAGGGGTGAGCCCATCTCACTGGTCCGCTTCTCAGCGCCTTCACCCTCACACGCAAACTTCAGAGGTTCGCAGGCTGGTGGGAGACAGAGCAGCTGAACCTTCCGAGCAAGATTTAGAAAGGAAGGGTTAGTGCTTAGATTTGAGGCCTGGCATAGCACACTGGGAGGCTAGGGGACCTAGGTCTGCCTCAGGCTGCTGGAGAAGCACTTTTCCCACTTGGAGAAGTGGGCAGGGCAAAGGCCAGGGCTGTGGTAATGGAAACATCTGACTTTAAAGGATCCTGGCCCTACTGGTTTTGAGCTCATGGTCCATCCAGGGCACCCAGGGAGCAGTAGGTCCTAGGTCTTGCCAAAACAGCAGAAAGAGTTGCTGGCCACTCGGAATCCCTTTACCTCAGGTTCATCTCTTGCAACCACCACCCAAGGAACAGGACACTCCTAGGATGGGGAGTCCATTTCTTGATCCATAAGCAAGTGACCACATGGGGCAACTGAATCTTCTCCCTTTGAAACAAATGAGGGCCCCCAGGGGTTTCCCTCTGCCTTCCTACCTGTAATTAATTCCAAGTTTAATAAAGTAGTTAGCATAAGTGGACCACATTGGGAGACCCTGAATTACCAGTCACCAGGAAACCACAGATTGTAGTCCTAAAGAATAGAAGGGCCGTAAGACATTGTCTACAACCTAACTTATGTTACAGTATTCCTTCTGAGTAGGAACAGTGAATTAAATACAATCACTTCATAGTTCTAAACTAGAGATAGGAAGATAAAAAAAACAGAAGTTTTGTGAGCTATCAGCCCTCAGCCGTTCAAGCATCCTTCCCAGCCGGAGACCAGGCAGAAATTTAGGACAATCTCTTTAAGAAGCCCACCAGTGTAATTCCGAAATACAATTTTTAAATCTGGTTCTTAACCGTTTAACCCATCTCTAGACTGAACAAAGGAATGTACTCAGGAGCCTGCCTTAATTGCCAGGGTTTGTCGATCCGCCTTCAACACCTTCCCTCCTCACATGCACACCTTCCAGTGCCGACAGGGGTGGGGGGATTAGTTGCCTGTTCAACAGCATCTACTCTAAGCGCATTGAGCATTGTGGATACAGAGAGGAGGAAACTTCAAAGTAGAAGGAAAAAGAGCCCTAGGAGAGTCCACATTTAGTTTTAGGAGAGAATAAAGATCATCTTACGGCAAGTTGGGATGGGGTTCGAGGTACCACCTATGGAAGGGCTGTTGGGATCCCTCGAGAGGTGTGTCAAAACAAAGATTAAAGAAGCAACAAACATGGGGAGGACGGGTTGCCTGAGCATACTCAGATCTTTTCCATTTGGCCAGAACCTGCTTTAAAACAGCCTGGGTCGAAACATGAGAAGTAGAATTGAAACGTTCTACTTTCGCTGGCTTCCTCACTCCAGAATAGGTACTGACCCTTCCCTACCCCCTGGTTCCCTGCTACCTAGGGTTTCAGCGTGGGGTCACCAGCCTATCGAGCCATCTGGCTGCCAAGCTGAGCAAATCCAGTGATGTTCACTGAGCCAAGGCCGGGCCCTCGAAGCACTTCAACCACCGTGGCCTTCTCTCCTTAACCTAGACTGGTGTGGTCTCACGTGGCCACAGAGGGACACCCCAGCGACAAAAGGCTTAGACCGTTACAACAGTAACAGGAGTCCTTTCAAATCCAAGCAGTGACACGAGAAAACAGGCTCAAAGACCATACAAGTCACCGCCAGTCACAGACTGGCAAAACTAACCTTTGAACTCCCGTGTTGTAGAGTTCCGGCCTCTATGTGCATCTTTGTTTCTTTAATTAGGCCAACATCCGTGTCCTTTGTGTTGATGTTACTACATCTCCAAGAAGTAAAGCTGAAAAATAAAGTTAATTTTGACCACCTGAAGGCTATAGTCACTTGTAATCCACGAAGCTCTTATCTGTCTGTCAATGGGAGAATTTAGGCCTGTGCTGTAAGGTACCACCTACCTCTGGCTCTTTCTGACCAGGAGTTCCCAGATTCCCCTTTCCACAAGGCCTTTGGGCAGAACACCAGGATCCTCCGAAAAACAAGGCACGGGTGGGCTATGGCAAGGAAAAGGAAAGCCAGGCCCTCCTCGTGACCCCCTGTGTTCAAATGCTTGACTGGCCAGACACACTAGGCAGGCGTCCCATGCTTCTGTCATGAGGCAACACCCCGGCCCTTTTGAACGTTCTAGTCTCAGTATGGGTAGTCCCTATTAGTCTCCTTTCTGCCCAAATCCTTCTCTGCTGGCACAATGCCTTTTTAACCTCAATGCTATTACAACAGCTCTCTTTTTGAGCAAGAGTATTAGACGTGCTAGGTAAAAATTTGTAGAACTGGTTTCCCCTGCAGTGTGCGGTGGTTAAACCTTTTAGAAAAGACCAGACAACTGGAACTGAAAACACAAGAGGAAAAACCACTCTGCATGTTTTGACTGCCACAGGATACAAGCCCTTAACTACTGCACCGAGGTGATCAGGTGATTGCTCCGTAGGAAGTCTTTCCGCCTCTGGGCCCCATCACCAGAACCACGGGCTTAGCCATGAAATTCCTTGGGGCTCTTCTTACTTGTGTGGCGTGGGCCAATCGGAGAAAATCCGTTTCAACCGCTGGAGACAGCAGTGAACAAAACTACGATCCGTGCCCTCAGAGTAGAACCTTCCGTCTATACCAGTGGTTTTCAGGGTCCCATCGTCACGGGAACAGCACTGCTGGGGAGACTATATCCCGCTCCTGCTTCAACTGGAGCTCATATCCTGAGATTCCATGTAAGATTTCATTTGAAAAACAGGTTGCTCCATGAGAAATTTTGAAAACCACCAGCCTCTAGTCTTCTACCCGCTTAATCTGTTGGAACACAGGCAGCTTAGATTTCCGGCTGCTTAAGTGTCCCTGGTAACTAAACAGCAGTGATAGGAATGCTAAAAAAGGAGAAACTCAAACAGGACAGCGCCTTGCCAAGTTTTATCAGGATTATAACTTTTCAAACATTCCATCTTTATGGGAAACAGCCACCTGAATTTGATGTCACAAGAGGAGCGAGAAAGTGACTTTTGAAGTGCGGTTTTGAACAATTTATAAACCGGTAGAATAAATGCTCGGACGCTGTGAAGCAGTTGATCTAAATTGTGAGGCTTTCTCCGAGAAGCTCCTTTATCCCACACAGCAGGTGGAAAACTAGGAACCCATTCGATTTATTAAAACTTGTTTCCCAGCAAGTTAAACTAGGCATCCACCTACAAATGGCTGATGTACTGCCAAGGCCACTTTGGTCATTCTGTGGAGCGTGGCGCCATCTTGTGGCCACTCTCAAACCTCTTGTAACAAGGATACATCGACTGTTCTCTTGGGAGTGAAAAGAACCTTACCTACTTCCTGAAGCCTGGGGGCACTTACGATGTTTGGGTTTTTTTTTTTTAATGTTTATTTATATGAGAGAGAGAGAAAGAGAGACAGTGCGTAGGTGGGGGTGGGGCAGAGAGATAGACACAGAATCCGAACCAGGCTCTGAGCTGTCAGCACAGAGGACACAGGGCTCGAACCCACAAGATGCGAGATCATAACCTGAGCCGAAGTCGGATGCTCAACTGACTGAGCCACCCAGGCGCCCCTCAAGGTGTTTTCAAATGTTCTCAAAGAACACGACATTCTGGCTACTTTTCTAATTTTATTGACTCTTTTTTCACACATTTAAAACAAAACCAGCACGTGAAAATAGCATCTCATCCCCAAGTCTCAATTCCATTGGCTGCCTCAGAGAAGCCATTAGAATTTGGCCCATCTTATGCCTCAAAATAAGATATGCCACTGTGAAGACTCAAGTTACATAGCAAGTTCAAGTTTCTGCGCACCCCAGGACACACAGCCAGTGGTCGGACCCTTGTGGCCAACTCCAGGGACTCCAGCTGTCCGCCTGTCTCATGTCTCAGGAGCTCTCCCCGTCTGAGAAGACTGGGTCTTCCTGATGGCTGTCCTACAGGGCCGGTCAAGGCTGAGCCAGAGAGAAATACAGCTGGGTTCCACCACCCCTTCCCATCAGCCACCAGTTGGGCCAGTCAGGAAATCATTTTTATACAGTCTTCCATCTCTACCATTTATCCCCCCCCCTCCTTCTTCAAGACCTGTTGCTATCCCTTTCATTTAACAATAGACTCAGTGTCCGTTAAATTGCCTGAGAGGTGTTTGGAGCCTGACATACTTTCCTGAGCTAAAACAAGAAAACAAGATACCTCTGTGGCCTTCCTGCCACCAGATCAAGTACAAAAGGGAAAGCACTACTGAGACGGGCAGAGCTAGAGAAGCAATGCGAGCCCCTCCCTGCCCCCACAGAGCTCTCTCTCGTGCTAGCATTTGAGGGCACATGAAGGCAGGTGTTCTGGGGCCGGGGAGGCAAGAGGGGAAACTCCTTTATTTTCCCCGTTTGAACTTCCCTCCTGCCCCGGTCTTTGCCTTCTTCTTAGCAGACCCCTTGGGCTCTGGCTCCTTGCGCTTAGCTGAGGAGAGCGAGCCAGTCACCTTGAAGAAATCATCCAGGCGGCCCTGGGTGCTGCCCTGGCGGCTCTTGCTCAGCCGCCTGACCCCACTGCGGATCCGCTCCTCCGAGAACTGCTTTTCACCACACATGAACTTGACGAGCTCTTCCTCATTCGGCTCGCTCCACTTCAGCTCCACAGAGTCTGGGTCAAGCACCTCGGGCTCCAGGAAGAGCTGCTGGGCCTCCTTGTGGAGCCAATTTTCTGGCACGGAGTACTTGCTGGGGTCGAGCCGACGCACGATCTCCTCGATGCTCTTGTGCTTCTGGATGAGGTCCACGGCCCGCTTGGGCCCAATGCCCCGGATGCTCTCACAGTAGTCACTGCCCAGCAGGATGCACAGGTCTACGAACTGCTCCTGGTTCAGGCCCAGCTCCTGCAGGACCCGGCTCAGGTGGAACTCCTGGATGGGCAGCTTCTTGGCCTCACTGGCCGTCAGGTGCCGCATGAGCACAGGGCTGCCAAAGGTCAGGCAGTCCATGTCCTCCGTGGCCGCGGCATAGACTTTGCCCGCCTTCACGAGGGCGGCACAGCTGGCCTCGGCCTCGCTGGGCGCGTCCAGGTACGGGATGCCCATGAGGCTCAGCAGATGCTTGCACTCGTCGTTGTGCTGCTTGGTGACCTTCACCAGCCGCTTGGTAAACTTCTCCACCTCCTCCCCGGCCCCGGCGGCCTGAGCCTGCTGTAGCTGCTTCTCCGCCTCGGCCCGCCGCTCGCTGCGCTTGGCCAGCTCGCCGGACTTGAGCTGTGGCGGCTTGCCGTCGAAGACATACACGGGTTTGATGCCGTTCTCCATCATGCGGATGGTGCGGTAGAACATGCCCATCAGGTGGCTGGTGGTCTCCCCCTCCTCGTTCTGCAGCACATCCCCGCCCTGGCGGACGGCGATCAGGAACTGATAAATGCTCATGGAGGCATCGATGGCCACCTTGCGGCCGAAGTAGCTCTTGATGTCATTCTCCCGGATGGCACCGGGGGCCACGTCTGCAATCAGTTTGGCCAGGCCTTGAATGCCCATAGCAACACAGAGGAGGGACGGCTAGAACCAAAAACGAACAAACAAAAAAGGAGTAAAGTAAGAACAGGAGGAATTTCAGGGAGGCAAAGGATCAGGGGTTAGAACTGGCGCCCTCTCACCGACTCCCATGCCTCCGACTGTACAAATTTAGCGCAAGAAGAGGACACCGCTTCGGGACCACAGAAGATGAAAAGATGGCACAGGACAAGGTCAGCATTCTCAAAAACCTCAGTCGAGCAGGGGAACTCACTCCATGACTACTAAGGCTTCCTGCGTTTCAGGAGGAAACCTGGGTGTTAGGAGGATGAAGGCACTTCTGACGTCCGGGGACTCAAGGTTTCGTGGATAAGGCAGCAACAGGGCTAGCACGCAAGGAGGGCTACCGCTGACGCCTGCGTCAAGGTCCCTGCAAGTCCAGAGGAGAGTGCCTGGCCCAGCCCAAGGCGTCCACGGATCATAAAGACAGGACCTGAAGGACAGGCAAAGACTGGCTACCAGAGGATGACGAGATGAGGCAGGGACAGAGGCAGCCATGACACAAGGCTGAATGTGTACGGTGGTAAAATAAACACGAGTGTCCACCCTCCTCTGTACCTTTATGCCAGTCATGACCATCCCCAACTCGTCCTTCTGGCTCCCCTCCTCTTAGCAGCTGTGATGGGTAGTTTCCTGTGTCAACAGTGGCTAGGCTGTAGTACCCAGGTATTTACTCAAACATTAATCCAGGCGCTGCTGGGAAGGTATCTCGTGACATCTGTATTCGGGTGACTTTATTTATTTAGTTAAAAAAAAAATTTTTTTTTTGGATGCTTATTTTATTTTTGAGACCGAGAGAGACAGAGCGTGAGCGGGAGAGGGGCAGAGAGAGAGGGAGACACAGAATCCGAAGCGGGCTCCCGGCTCTGAGCTGTCAGCACAGAGCCCAATGCGGGGCTTGGACCCACAAACCACGAGATCATGACCTGGGCAGTCAGAAGCCTTTGAACCACCCAGGCACCCCAGGTGTTTAAGCAGGGCCATCCTGCAGGAGCTCGGGTGGGGGGGGGGGGGGGGGGGAGGGGCTGAATCAACTGAAAGGCCTTGGGAGCAAAAACGGAGGTTTCCAGAGAAATTCTGCCTGAAGTCTGCAGGGTCAACCCCTGCATGAGTTTCTAGCCTGCGGGCCAGCCCTCTAATTTTCAAACTGGTCAACCTCCACAATCACCTGAGCCAATTCCTTCCAATAAATCTCTTTATGTATGTCTGTACCCTAGATCCTACTGTTTCTCTGGAGGACCCTGACTGATAGAGCAGCCCTGAAGAAGGACTGGCAAAAAAAACCCAACTTATCTGGAGGGAGGTTATGTGGCTTTCTCACATGCTGCTCGAGTGTCCCTTCAGTATCCCCTCGGCCCTGCTACTGGTTTCTGTTTCTACCATGACGTTGCTAGGAGTTTTAAGTCTTTCCCTTTATATTTTCTCTCCACCACGAAGTCCAAGATGTGAACTCCATGGCTCCCACCTGACCCCAGGTCCTGATCTAGGAGCCTGGCAAGCTGTAGTCCCTCAGTCCAGTAATACACTCCTGTGTTTCAGGCCCCTTGACAAATAAAATAGTTCCCAGGGCAGTGTTTCCTGAACTTCGATCAGATCCAAACTCCGCGCCCCTCACAATTTTTTGCCACTTCCATCTAAAACCTGTATTTGGGGGCGCCTGGGTGGCTCAGTCGGTTAAGCGTCCGACTCCTGGATCCTGGCTCAGGTCATGATCTCATGGTTTTGTGAGTTCGAGCCCCCCATCAGTCTCTGTGCTGACAGCGTGGAGCCTGCCTGGGTTCCTCTCTCTCTCTCTGCCCCTCCCCGACTCACGCTGTGTGTCTTTCTCTCTCTCAAAATAAATAAACATCAAAAAATTTTTTCAAAAGGGGCGCCTGGGTGGCGCAGTCGGTTAAGCGTCCGACTTCAGCTCAGGTCATGATCTCACAGTCCGTGAGTTCAAGCCCCACGTAGGGCTCTGCGCTGACAGCTCAGAGCTTGGAGCCTGCTTCGGATTCTGTGTCTCCCTCTCTCTCTGCCCCTCCCCTGCTCAGGCTCTCTCTCTGTCTCAAAAATAAATAAAAACATTAAAAAAATTTTTTTTTAATTAAAAAAAAACCACACACTCAAAACCTGTACTTGCATTCACTTAGTATTTTCTTTAAATGGACCCCATTGTCTTAAAAACCAAGTTGAAAACGAGAACTCATCTTAAGCAATAATGTCTGTGTCACAGTAGTTAAATTTTAATGTTAACTGTATAACTATTTTTTTTTAATTTTTTTTTTCAACGTTTATTTATTTTTGGGACAGAGAGAGACAGAGTATGAACGGGGGAGGGGCAGAGAGAGAGGGAGACACAGAATCGGAAACAGGCTCTAGGCTCTGAGCCATCCGCCCAGAGCCTGATGCGGGGCTCGAACTCACGGACCGCGAGATCGTGACCTGGTTGAAGTCGGACGCCTAACCGACTGCGCCACCCAGGCGCCCCTAACTGTATAACTATTAAAAAGGATTTAGGGGTGCCATTTAAAGTCGTTGCGTGCTCACTGGTGGTATGTGTCCGCCACCCTAAGACATATACGAGACCTTTTAGCTGTTCCCACTTTTCAAAGGGTTCTTTCCAAAGCATAAAAGACCCTGTCGCATGCCCCCTTCCGTGCTGAAGTCCAAACATCTCAACCTGGCGGCAAGATCTTCCATGCGCGGCTTCCCAACCTACCGTCACAGTCTGGGAGCCAACACAAAGTTTGGGAGAAGGCCGGCCCTTTCTCACGCTGCTCAGCCGCGCCCTCCTCTAGCCCCTGCCATACACTGGGCGCTCGGGATCGTTCCCCCCACAGAAGCCATTCAATCCTCGGGGTCCGGCCTCAGGCCGGCTGCTTTGCCAGACGGGTACGGAGGGGACAGTGCCTGCTGGCTTAGCCTCCCACGGCCCCCGACGCAGGGAGGTGGGAAAGGAGTCTCAACAAGTGAAGTTTACAAAATGTTTCTCAGCCAGGATCTCGGTCGAAATACACAACGGGCCCATAAAGTGGAGGCTGTTTCCCTCCTTCCACAAACGAAGCAAGAGGCTCGGGGCTTCGGCGACCGGCCCAAGTCGCACAGCGGGAAGGTGGCAGGCCGGCGCTCCGGCCTCCGCCCCGCGCGCGGCAGACGGTCCCCGACAGCACCCAGCGCCAGGCGGACCCCGCCGCCCTCGGAAGCGCTTCCCATGGGGTCTCACCTGGCCTTTGGAGCGCGAGGCCTCGACAGCTAGCGCTTGGTCCGGGGTCGCCCACGACGGTGCTCAGCCCCGCAAACCTGCTCAGCGCGGCCGCGGACGCCCTCCCGCTCAGCCGCCTTCCAAAGCCCGCGCTCCCGTCACGTGACCCGCCGCCGCGCACGGCCTCCTGGGAAGTGTAGTGCAGGCCCGGACGCCCTCGGCCAGCTTCCCTTGTGGCAAACAGTCCCCCCCCCCCACCCCCGTGGGGGAACGAACCGTCCCAGCGGCTCTGTCCTACCCTTCTCCATCGCTCGCCCCAACTCCACATCGGGGCCCCACAGGCCCCAGCACCCCCTACCTCCGAAACCACAGGACTACAAATCCCACAATGCCACGCGAGCGGGCGCACTTCCTTTTCCGGCTGCACAAGGCGCCTGCTCCTGCCGACGTGTTATTCCTGTGGCGGAGCGGTGGATTACCCTGTGCCTGGCAAGATGGTGAGAGGGTTGAGGGGCGTCCCGGACAGAGCTGTGATGAGGACACCTCGGGGCCCGTCCCACACCCCGTTTCTCTCGCGGAGGTCTCAGACGCCTGAGACCCAGACAGCCGGCGGCTCCTATATCCGACTTGGGCCGAGGGGCGGGAAGGGAAGGAAGCCCCTTGCCACGGACTCTTAGTTAGGCTGAGGTTTTGATCCCGCGATTTTTAAGGGTGAGGCTTGTGCGGCGCATTTTTAACACCTCGAGCTTTTATCTGTTACCTGTGATTAAGCCGTTATCTCTATTTGATCTCTGTTTGGAAGGTTCTTCCTCCCGCAGAACTCGTACTCATCTGCAAGGCCCAGGGCAGATGTCCCCTTCTTGGTGAAGCACTTCCAACTCTCTCAGGCACTTGGCCGCTCTCTGCTGGGAGCTCCCACAACCCGCGTACAAACCTCTTGCCACATGTCACGGACTTCTTTGTTATCTGCCACGCCTCCTAGTGACCACCATCTGACGTGCAGCTAGCTCTGGGATGATGGCTATTCATCTTTGTATTCCCAGTGCCGAACACAGGGCCTGCGATCGGAGGCTCAATAAATGGCAGCGATTGTCTTTATCATTTTGGGGGGTGTGGGCATAAATGTTTACTGAATTGAATTCCAGTGTCTCTTAGAACAATGGGGTCAATTTATTTCTCTAGAGTTGTTATGTTCTGGGTTTTAGGAGCGTTGGCTGGTGAGTGACAATGGAAGTTAACATTTGTACAGAACTTTACGTTTACAGCCCTCCTTCACAAGCATTATCTCATAATTTTCCCTGTAACCTTGGGAGGGAAACAAACACCTATTGAGCAACTACTTTGTGCCAGGAAGTGAGCTAGATACTTGGACGTTGGTCACCCTTCTTCAGTCATACATCAACCCTGTGAGGGGTGTTACTATAACTACTTTACAGAGACTCATTCAGTAGAGCTAGTTTATTAATGGATGTCTTTTGCTGTTAGATCCTGAGATTCCCTAATAGTGTAGTGGGAAGAATACAGAAGTAGAAGTTGAGATCTGGGTACTGGTCCAGGCTCTGAATTACAGCAGGGATTCTGAGCTTGGTGTCTATAGACATGGGTCCATAAATCTCCTAAAATTATAGGCAGACTATTTCTTGCATGTGGTTTGTTTCCAGGCAGAGTCCATACCTTTAACCATTTTTTTTTTTTTAATAGTCCTCCCTGGCCTCAGAAGATGTTAGGGACCACTGATCTATAGCTAGTCAATCATCGTCAGTGTCAGCCTCTGACTCTCAGCTGCCCTTCTTGTCTCATAGTGAAAAGACAGAGTGTCACCTAAGTTTACGATGGAATCGTCATTTCCAAATGGAATCACTTGATGTTGGTTCTGAAGGATTTCCATATTTCCCAGGCTGAGACAGACCTTTAACAGTCATTGGAGGATGAGGCCCATTGGTGGATGACCTCACACTCCCCCTCACATTGAAGTCCTGGGATTCTTTGCTGGCTCTGATCTCCTGCCCTCCCCTAGGAGCTCGAGGCCATGAGCAGATACACCAGCCCAGTGAACCCAGCTGTCTTCCCCCATCTGACCGTGGTGCTGTTGGCCATTGGCATGTTCTTTACCGCCTGGTTCTTCGTGTATCCTTTTCACTGAGCAGCCAGTGGGCCAGAGTTAGTGGTGTGGGAAACTAAGGGAGAAACCATGCTGGGTACGTGCACCCTGCCAGTTTTGTTCTGGTGTGGGGCTAGGGGGAAGGTAAGGAGGTCGAAGGACAGCTGTTGATGTGCAGGGTCGGGCTGTGGCCTTACTTCCCAAGTTTAGGTGAGCTCAGTTCTTCAGATTTCCGGGACAGTGGACAGAAGGCCTGGCTGGACTGCAGGTTGGGGATAGGGGATCTGAAGTTGGCAGAGTGGTAAAGGAGGGGCGTGCTCAGGTGGCAAGAGATCCGAGGGCTAATGCCAGTTCCTCAGTTCACTGGCTGTGTGACCCGGGGCGGGTGACCTAACCTCTCTGGGCCTGATTTCCTTCACAGGTGGTTGAGGGCTGGTAGGAAGCAACAGAGTCCAGATCATCTCTTGGGCCTCTCTTCCTGGCTGTGCTGAGCCCGGCAAGCCTCCTAGAAAGCCCTCACCCCATACCTTTTTCCCAGAGCTGCACTGGCCGGGCTTCCTGTCCTACGCAGCCCCATCCCTCTGCTTCTCCTTAATCACCCTGCCAGCTATGAGGTGACCTCCACCAAGTACACTCGGGATATCTACAAAGAGCTCCTCATCTCCTTGGTGGCCTCGCTTTTCATGGGCTTTGGAGTTCTCTTCCTGCTGCTCTGGGTCGGCATCTACGTGTGAGCTCCCAAGGGTAAGTGCTGCGACAGGGCGGGCATTAGAGAGGCTTCCCACATCCACGTCAGTGCAGTCCTCAGGCCTGTGCAACACTTTGGTTCATGGAGACAGACTCGGCAGAGTGGATAGGGACACCGGACGCCGGACGCATGTGCCTCTTTCCCTGTCCCTAACAGGGATCTCTGACCTACATTGTCATGCTGAGCTCTGCACACTGCCCAAGGCCTTGATCTGGCTTCGGGGTGTACTTCATAGGGCTGTGGGAGCAGGCTTCCCACGTGATGACATTTGGGTTCTTACACATCACACGCCATTGACTTGGCTGCTCGGGAACGGGCTAGAAGGGGGGTCAGAACCTGGGGCTCCCAGTTTGCTGCAGGGAGTGCCACTGTGGTAAGTTTGAATGTTTTCAGTCATTAAAAGAAACCTTGACTAAAGTGATGAAGCAAACCCAGAGACCCTGGCTGCAGATAATCCACTAAACAGGTCCCTGAGAGTCAGCTTTGGTAGCTCCGCTTCAGTCGTGTGCCCGTCAGCCCTTGCCCCAGGGGCACAGGCGTCAGTGAGAAAAGGAGGCGGAAGGGTCGGTCATTGGTCTCATTTTGATACCCCTCTCCTTTCTCAGGTTCCAGCCCGGCGGCTTCACTGAACCCCTGCTTTTGTAAATTAATTTTTTTACCGTTGCCACAAGCGTCCCCCACCTGCTCACAATAAAGGCAGATGTGTGACCGTCTCGTCTGACCGCCCATTTCGCAGCGGTGGGGTGGTGCTGGGACTACCTGACTTCCCTGGTCCCACCCCTTCCCATTTCTCTCCTGCCTTTCAGATGCTCCCTGCTGCCGGGAAGCCCTGCTTTCTACTGGGAGGGGCGAGGAGGGTGAGGGAGGGGAGGCTGTCCTTGTAACGTAAGGCTTCGTGGACAGGGAGGGACCAGCTCTCTCCTCTGTTGTTTTTACAGCAGACTTCTCTGGGAACCCACACCAGTCACGTCTGCCCTGGACCCGTCCCATCCTCTGAATGTACTCTCCCTTCTGTGGGTTGGGGACCTTCACAAGGCTCAGCTTGTCCCCAAAGGGGAGGTTTTCCTTGGGGAAGGGGGCCACTTTAACCCAGGTAGGGCAGCCGTGGGTCTGGGGGGGGAGTGGCTAGGGAAGGCGGCTGCGGAGTCCTGTTCCCAAGCCTGGCGTGAAGTTGAGAAGGATGTTGGGGTGCAACGCATCCACGTGGCTCAGGAACCTCAAGAGATTCCAGTCGGTCTTTGCCCCACAGGCAACTCCCGTCTCCTACCAGAACAGTCTCAAGAAGAGATGGGGAAGCAAGGTCAGATACAAAGCCATATTTATACATTTATTTATATACGTATATTTACTTCAGAAGAAAAGGACGGGGACAGGAAGCAAGCAGGCCCAGGGCTGCCTCCCTGTGCCCACTCCAGAGTCAGAGTTGGTACGTGATAAATATGAGTCAGCACTCAGGGACAGGAACTGGGAGTTAACTGGGAGGGAGGGGCGCTCTATGCACACGCGGGCTTTTATGGGGGCGGGTATAACGTGGGCAGAGGGACTTGTGCGTTGAGAGGCCCTATGTACAGCTTGAAGCTCCGGGGAGATTAGCCCCGCGACTATGGGAATAAATGCCGGAGGGGAGGGGAGGGGAGGGGCGGCTGCTGGACCCCATGTAGGGAATGGAACCAAGACACCCACTTACCAGTGCCAGCCGGGCAGCTGTCAGCCTCCAGCAGGTGACCCGCTCCCCTTCCCCGAAGCCCATCTACCTTACTGGGCTTAAGGCGACTTTGGTCCAAGGTTGACCCCCTCTCAAGCAGCTTGGAGCCCCAGCTTGGCCCCAATCCTCGCACTGAGGACCCCTCCTCAGGCACGGAAACAGCCAGCTGCTAACCAGATTGGGGCAATGCTGTGTCCAGAAGGGCTCCAGGGGGCAGTGGAGGGTCACTTTCCAGTTCAGGACTGAGGGGCCACAGTCCAAGGCCAGGCACCCTCACTGAGGAAGCCCCAGAATCCTATTACAAAGGGTGGGGCTCAGCAGTTTTTAAGGCATTTCGGGAGGGTTTCCCCCACTCTGGGGGAGGGAGAACAGAGTAGTCCTAAGGAAGGCCTGGCCCCCTGCGTGGTGTGGGGAACCGTGGGATTCCCATGTCAGAATGAAGGAGTGGAGCCACGCTGGGGAAGGGGCTGGGAGGCGAGGTATCCCTGCCATCCCCCAACTCCCCTAAGGGTAAGTGCTTTGTGACCCATGCCGGAAGGGGGCCCACAGTTCCCAGGCTTCAAGACCCAGCTCCCCATAGGAAGGCCTCCCATTCAAAGTCGAGAATGAGACTTCGGAGAGGGGTAAGGCCTGGTTCCCAAAGAGGTGGCAGGATACCACAGGGCAGGGACCACAATTCCCGGTCCCCTTCCCGGGCCCATGCGGACGTGGCTCAGTGATTTCCACATTCTTCTGTGAGCCTGGATGTGGCCTCAGTGCTCCAGGCACCCACTAAGAAAGGTTAACTTAACATTGGCACTTGAGATAAGACTTCTTCCTAACACAAGCCCACTGCTCCATCTCTGGGAGGAGTGAGTGGAGACGGGGCCTGCTGCCGAGCCTGGGTCGCTCCAGCTCAGCTCTCTGAACCCAACATGGGAGCCCTTGATCTGGGGAGACCAGGTGACCAGGAGACAAGAGTGAAGGGGGAAGCCAGAGTCTTGGTGGTCGGGAGTGAGCTGGATGTCTCAAGCCTCCCTGGGATGGATCAGAGCCAGGCCCCTGTCTCTGCAAGTGTCCCCCTGTCTCTGCACTTCTCCGGGCTTTTCCATCTCCAACCTCCACCCCCGCTCTGGCTTAAGTGCATTTTAGTAATTATTTCGTTAATAACAGCAACAACTCTGCATCCACACACCAGCCAAGACCAGCCTGCTGCCTGGCATGGATTCCTGCTCCCCTGCTCAGAGAGAATGATGGGTCCCGGATACTGCTGCAAAGCTCTGGAAACTCCCAGGAACCCAGGCCGTGGGGCCCCGACACCGTCTTGTGGGGGGGGGGGGGGCTCACAGGGAACTTCAGGATACTCCAGGTTCAAGGGTCTGGGGCTTACCTCGACCACCGCCCCACCTCCCTCACAGGTTCAGCTGGGCACGAAATGTACATAAGGCACATGGTCAGTCTTTCCAACCCATCCAGGGCTGGCTCCAGCTGCCCTGGGAGCTCTTGGGAGCCCGTGTTCCCAGGAAGAAGAGACCTCCTGGGCCACACTTAAAGCTTAAAAGTCCCAAGTCCAGCGTAACAGTCAAACCCCAAAAAGTCCACCACCTCGCCGCCCCACAGGGAGCAGCTGTGAGGGTGATGGCTGCATACTCTCCACCGACTCATGGATCCAGCCGAGTCTTTTAGGGCTCCGTCCAAGTCCCCAGCTGATAGCAAGGTCAGCAGGTCCCCTCTCCAAAAGAGGGGGGGCTCCCAGTCTCAAAAGGGGAGGGTGGGAGGTAGGCTCTGGACAGTCACAGGCTTACCCTTGCCGCCAGGGTACCTGAGGCCGGCCCTCCAACCACCATAACTGGACAGATAGGAACTGGTCCCGGCCTGGCCCCAGGAGGTCCCTCTGGCTCCCTCCGCGACGTGTGAGGGGCGACCGGCAGGGACAGCAACTCCAGTGTGAGGACTTCCAGTTTCACCAGTCGTGGGGAGGGCCAGGCCCGGTTCAGTCTCTCCAAGGGGGTGCCAGTGAGCAGAGAGCTGGCGGGCAGCGGCTCCAGTGTAACACCACCGCGTCCAGTGTGGAAGGGGCGCCCGGGGACCCGGGCCGTGGTGTGGTGCTGCCTTGGGGAGGGCAGCTCAGTCACACAGGCGGTAGAAGTGGAAATAGTAGTCTGTGGCCGGCAGGACCGGGGCCTCCACGCTGCAGTTGGCCTGACCCTGGGTGGGAGGGGAGCGGGCACAGGTGAGGTGGCTCTGGGGGTGCAGGGCAGGAAGCACCCCGCCGCCGGCGCCGACATCACCTGCCCCTGTGCCCCACGTCCTGCCATGCGCTCCGTGAACCCCCGCCTCCCTTCCCCGAGCCCCACGCTGAGCTACAGGCGCCTGGACCTCTGGGGGCAGGTGGGTGCCTGGGCTCACCAGCAGTGCCACCCGGAAGTGGTAGGTGAATTCTCGGAAAGACAGGATGGTCACTGGCCACTGGTGCGACGTGCCCTGGAGAGAGGGGAGAGAGAAGGGTGAACACAGCCCCCTGCCCCTATCCCGACCAGCAGCCCTCACCGGGGCTCCAGGGCAAGTCTCTCAAAGGGTAAAATGAGAAGAGAGAAGGGAGGGAGCACGCTCTGCTTTGGGGAGTGATGGCAGCCCCCCCTCTACGCAACACTCTGTGCCAGGTACCCACAAGCCCACAGCCGCTGTCCCCTGGTCCCTGCCTCCCCTCACCCATTACGCTCCAGGCACAAAGTATTTCATTAACCCCAACCTCACTACAACCCAGTAAGGTGATGCTGCTTGTCGATGAGGAAGCCGAGTTCCAGCCTAAAATCACAGGGCACCGGGTGGCAGAGCTGGGGTTGACACACGGGTCTGGTCTGCTCTCCTTCGCCAGGGAGTGTGAGGCCCGGCTTCAGACCGCTTGCCCATCTCCCCCATGAGGCTTTGGCTTGGCCTCCAGGGATGTGGATTCTGGCCTGAGCTCCACATCTGAAGACGAGGGGCTGGCTGGGCTCTCCCTCTACTTCCGGGCACGTTCTCCTCTGCGCCTGTTTCGAGGCCCCCACCCACCCCTCCGCTCGTTACTTTCTGCACATCTTTTCCCCTCAGCTAGAGGGTGCGTTCTTCCCAGGCAAGGCCTGGGTCCACCCCCGCCTGCCTCCCCACTGCTGAGCCCAGGACAGGGCCTGGGCTAGAGGGGCCCCGACACATACTTGTTGAATAACCACGAATTGGTGAGAAGAAGTCCCCTTAACCCGTGCTGAGAGTCACAACTTTGGGTTACGTGGGGGTCACATGGCCAGTGAGGAGCTGAACAAGGAAAGGGTCTCAGCCATTTGGTTCTCCGAGCGGGAGGTAGGCCTCTACGAAATCGCCGAGAGATCTTCCAAAATGGTGGCTTGAACCATGCCGCTGCCCAGTGTGAACTCACTGGGCCCAGTGTGAGCCGCTGCCGTGCTCCTTCCCGTTTCCTTCCCCCTAGCCCTTGCCACGTGTCCGGCTCTGCCAGAAGGCCACCCAGTCCCTGGCCTCCAGACCTCAGCATGTGCTGTCCTACTCCTGGGACACTGTCCTCTCTTCTTTCTCCAGCTGACCCCAAATCATCCTTCAGTTCTCTCTTAAACGTGACTTTTTCGGGGTGGCTGTTCTGACCCCGAGCACAGACAAGGCTGGCTCTCCCTGCCAAGGACTCCTAGGATACCCTCCCCACCCGCGCCGTTGCGTTCAATCCCAGGTTAGGCCTGGTGGGACTTTTGTCTTCCCAGGGGCTCTGTCAGGGCAGGGCCGGGGATGGGACAGAGCAAGGGCAGGGCCACGAGGCGCTCAGGCGTGACCAGTGCCCCCGTGCCCTCTCCCCAGGGCCCAGAGGCCTAAAGCGTCCCTTGTGGAGGTGCCTTCGCTCTGGCCCCCGGCTCCTTCACCTGTTTGGGGGCGCGGCTGTGCCCGGGGAGAGGAAGCTCTGGGGTGTGGCTGGCCCACGGCTTCCCAGTCGCCCCCTACCTGGGTGTCCTGGTAGGTGTGCAGGCTCTGTGGAAAGTCCCTCTCCTCACACGGCTGCTCCTTTGACATCAGGCTGCACAGCACCACAGACACGGGAGACGAAGAGCTGGGGGAAGGCCCAGTTAGCAGGGAGGTGGGGCTCCTGGGGGCCCCCTCCCAACCAGCCCTCCCCTCCACCTCCCCTGCCCCGCTGAAACAAGCCGCGAGTCCGCACGCGGCCTGACAACGATGCCCACGGGTCAAGGCCCCGAGACGGCCGCAAACCCTTTGCCGTCCACCGTCCCACATGGCATTCACACCCCGGTGCAACCACGGTGTGGTTGACAGATGAGAAGCTGAAGCCCAGAGACTGCCAGGGTCACACAGCCAGTCAAGCGCAGAGCGAGCAATAAAGTTGGCGTCGCTCCTCAGACCCCTTCCCCAGGTTGCCGGGGACCCCCACGTCCCTCCACTCACTTCATCTGCAGAGTCAGGCTGAGGTGCAGCGGGGTGCCGCTGCTGACAGGGATGTGGTAGGTGAAGTTTCCAGGCCTGAGAGGGCAAACATGGCTGCTGCTTAGTCCAAGGCTACCCTGCTGAGGCCCCCTGCCTGGACTCCCCACCCCCCCACCCCCACCCCGTCTGTCCTGGAGCTCACGGAAAGAGACTGTGCCACCTCTGGGGTGGGGGAAGGGGGATGACATCTGAGCATCTGTACTGCCTGGGCTCACGTCACCTGAGGGAGTCTGTCCTTGGGGTGAGGGGAGGGGGGCAGCCAGGCCCACCTGCAGGCATCCTCTGGAGCGCAGTACTGGGAAGTAATGGGCATGGAGTTCTCCAGCACCTGGATGGAGGTCAGGGAGGGCACTGGGTCTGCAAGGAGAGAGGCTGTTGGGGCAGGGACGAGGGTGACAGGGGCGAGAAGCCGCCAAGCCCTTCCTCGCCAGACTCGCGTTCAGTCACACACACCTTAGTATAAATAAGTTTCAGGTCATTCTTTCCAGACCCCCCACAATGGCCAGGGTCACACCACCCTCCGCCCCAGCAGCACTACGAAGAGCCAGTTCCCGGGAGCCTGAGGCCTGCCTCCTTGACAGGAACCTGCACACCAGGGGCAGGGATGGGTGCCGGGGGGTGCACAGGAGCCCGCCCACAGTGCTCTGCTCCTGACTGCACATGCTTTTCAACACTCAGTTCAGAGGCATCAGGTTGGTACCTTGAAATCAGCCATGGTGGGAGTATTCGCCACAAATCGGGGCTTTTTTTTTTTTCCCCCCTCCAGAGCCAACTGTGAGACACCTGCCAGCACCACACTCCTGGGGGCCTGTGGCCCTCTGTGAAGGAACCCGCCACAACTGGCTGACTGGCTGGGTGAGGGCGGGACTGAAGCGTGACACAGAGGGCGGGTGAGGTCATCTCAGCTCACCTACAGGCTAGCTGCTGCCTGCCTGACCATCCCACCGAGGGAGGGGAGGCTGGGGCCACCGAACATGTGCTCAGCTCTGTGAGGCATAGCCAGGCACCGAGGGGCCCCAGCAGGCCCATGGGCCCACGGACACCACACACAGACAAGATGGAAGAGACCCTCACATGTCTCTTCTGGGCAAACTCCTGCGGTCCTTCAGAGATTCAGCTCCAATGTCACCTCCTCCGGGGAGGCCTTCCTGATCACCTCTCCATCCCCGCCTGGATTACATGCCCTCCCCAGTCACCAAGCTGCCTGCAAAGTCCCCTCAGAGCTGCGGCCCGCCCCTACGCTGCCGTGTTCTCACGTCTCTGAGCCATCCGGGGCCGGGCACGTGTGTCCTCAGCACCCCCAGCCCCCCACCACCCTGTACAATTGAACTTCAGGCTCGGCAAGTCACAGTTTCTAAGCTTTTTTTTCCCTCTAAGCCACAAAACCCATCAAGTGAAAGCCAATGAGAAGGCCCAATACCTAGAGCAGAGCCGCCTGGGAAGCCTGGAAGGCCCCTGGCCTCCTCTGCAGCCCCCAGGACGGCCGGCAGGGTGCGTCGGAGGAGTCAGTGGCAGACAGAAAACCTGTGCGGCCAAGGGTTCTCTGGCTTGGTGACAACCAAAGCCTTGAGATTTGGAAAGCTGGGGGGGCGTGGGGGGAGACCCTACACAGCACCCTCCTTGCCCTGGCATGGGGGCGAAGGAGCCAGGCCCTGGTGTCGGGGAGATGGAATCCTAGCTCTGCCGCTGACAGGCCAAACACCCTGTCTCCGTTTCCCCATCTAAACTACGGGGATGATCCCCTCCTTGCAGGAATATGTAAGGATTAAATGAGGCGAGCTCCATAAGGCTCCTGGCCTCATTCCTGCTACTTAGTAATGCCCAGCAAGCGTCTGTGGGCTGGCAATCCCTCGCCAGGTGTTCAGGTGGCTGAGCTGAGAAGATGGGGGGCAAGGTAGGGCAAGTACCTGGCTGGCCCTGGGCCCGAGTGGGCCGAGCAGGGCTCAGGCCGGGCTGGGGAAGCCCTCTGCGGGCCCGGCCGTGGAGACCAAGGCTGGGGCTGTTCTTGGCTTTGCCCTGCCCTCCAGGGAAGGGGACTTCAGGGCTGGCCAGAGGCTCTGAGCTCTTTGGATGCTTGGAGTGGCCAATACCATTGGCCGACAGGCCCCAGGACTTGGCTCTGATGTTGGTGACTGGTAGGAGGGCCATCTGGCCGGGGCCTGTGGACAGAACCAGGTGTAGGCTGAGAAAAAGGCACAGGCAGCAACTGACTACCTCCTGTCCAGCTTTCTCTAGGACTTCACCAGACTGTGGGTGACCCCCATCTGTCTCTTCGTCCCCTCAGGGAGACCCACCAGTCTTCCTCCGGAGCCTCATTCTGGGCTCCCGGACACCCTCCCTCCAATGAGTCTTCGGGGTCTTTCTCTGGACTCCCATAACACCCCCTCAACCCGAACCCAAGACAGCCATACCTGAGCGGTTGGTGGAGGGGCTGGGACTGGAGCTGAGGCCATGGCCAGGGTTAAAGCTGGAGCCAAGACTAGGGGCAGGGGTAGGGCTGGGGGTGGAGGAGGAACAGCAGATGACTGGACAAGGGCGGCTGGAGCACAGGTCCAAAGTGGGGATGACAGGACCTGGGGCTGAGCTGCTCAGGCCGGTGGTAACTGCGGAAGCCAGGGGCCGTATGAGCGAGCAGCAGGCAGCTGAGCCCCGCGCCCCCGCCGCCCCAGAACGCAGCCACCTCTCCCCCATCCCAACCCTCCAGACCCCCCACAGGCACGCACCCAGCAGCAAAGAGGGCCGTGTGCCTGGCAGCCCGGTGGTCACAGGCGACTGTCGGAGCTGAGTGGTCCCAAAGCTCTGGCTGGACCTGCTGGGGAAGGGAGGGCTGAGCTCAGAGGACAGCCTCAACAAGGAGGCCTGGGGGTTCCGGCGGAGCAGGAGGGACAGGAGGAGGTGGACAAGGATGGTGGAAAGGAGGCAGGGAGAAGGGTGGCAGGAGCCAGAGGCAGGAGGGCAGGGGCTCGGTCCAGACACGTACCATGGGCACCTGGCCTCACTCCCCCCAGGGTGCTGGGGCCGGAGCAGGGCCAGAAGACAGGAAGTGGACACAGCAAAAGAGCTAACGGGCAGCAGAGAGGAACAGGAAGGGGGGATAGGTACAGGGGAGGAGAGAGAAAAGAAATAGTCAGAGATAGCCCAGGAGCTGAGGTGACAGTGGGCAAACAGAGCCCAAGATCCCACGGTGGCCCTCTTTTCCCCGCCCCTCCCCCCATGCCCATTCCAACCTGGGCCCCTCGATGCCCTCTGACTCTCAGAGGCCCAGCTACCTAAAGGAGCACTGAACGGGCCCACGAGACACACTGGCTTCGGTAGGGACCGGGAAATGTCTGCCCCTCCTCCAGGGAGACCTTCCCAGCCACCCCTGCAAGCCTCCAGCAGGCCGAGAGCCTGAAGCACTATCCCCTTTGGAGGAGACAGCCTCCACGGCTCCTCTGACCCTGGGCTGCCCACCAAAGCCCCACCTGTCCTGGCGGCTTGGCCAGCAGCCAGGCCTCCAGGGACATACCCATCGGTTTCCACCAGGTCCTCCTCGGTGCGCAGGCTCAGCACATACAGTGTAGACATGGACACCACGCTGGGAGCCACAGAAAAAGGGCCACTGTTAGAGGTGGAGCTACTGTCCCGGCCCCTCTCTCTAGGGCAGGGTCTGTGGTCCTTGGCTCCGGGGGTTGGGCTCGTGAGTGACAGTGAACGGTGCCTGCGAGTGGGTCTCCCCAGCCCCAGGGGCACGAGACCAAATGAGGCAGCCCACTTCCTTCCCTGAGACGTCCCTCTGTCCCTCCATCCCTCCGTAAGGTCTCCTCTCCCGGCCACATCTTCCTCTTCCCCCCAGGCCCGGGCCCAAGGGACAGCTCAACTTCCCCAGCCAGCCACCCCTGGAGCCTGGGGGACAAGTCACCTGAAGGCCATGACCACCACCAGGGCAATGATGGTTCCCTGCAGGAAGCGCTGGCTGATGCAGGCCTGGTCTGGGACCACAGATGACGACTGAGGACCGAGCGTAAAAGGGGAAGAAGCAGAAGAGGCCCAGACTGAGGGAGCCCATGGTCTCGCTCAGTGTCGGCTCTGCTGGACGTGGGGGTGCTAAGGTCTGCTCGTTCCTACGGGGGAGGGGGGGCAGCGGGAGACGAAGGAGAAACGGGGCCAGAGGGCTAGAGAGCTGGGAAGCGAGGGGAAGTGCTTGCAGTCCGAGAGCCTGGAGGAGGAGGGCCCCGGTCCCACCCGCCTCCCATCCGCGCCCATCCTCACCTTGCTGGCCACCTTGGGGGGCCTCTTCTTGTGGGGGACGCTGCCTGCCCGGCTGAACTGGCTCCCTGCATGGCTGCAGCAAGAGGGCCAGGGTCAGAGGTGCCTCTGGGAAAGGGGTCTGGCCCCCACCTGGCCCCGCCCCCACCTGAAGGCACCCGAGCTGCCAGTGGACTTGAGGCTGTCCAGCCGCCGCAGTTTGGCCAGCTTGTGGCTCCAGCGCTCCAGCTCGTCAATGCGCGTCTCCAGGTTGTCCGTCAGCTTGCACAGCTCCTTCACGGCACCCACATTCTCCATGAAGATGCGCTCCTGCCGCGGGCGGCCGGCACGGTCAGCCCCTGGGAACCCTGGGCTACAGGGAGCAGGACCCACGGCCGCCTGGAAGTCCTCAAAGCCTCCCTGCCCAGGTCGGCCTCGGCAGCCCCCAACTCCCCGCGCCTGCCTCCAAACAGCACCCCCGCCTCTGCACCTTTGCGCTGCCATTCGGCCAGCCCTTCCCACCCCTCCTCGCCGTCTGAACCCCGTCTCTCAGAGGCTCCCACCCTCTGATGAACGTGATCTCAGGCTTCAGCTCCTTATTGCTCAGCCAAGGCCAAGACATAGTACTACACGCTCCTTGATGTCCGGCCTCATGCCAGGTAGTTACAAACATCACCCTCACGCTCCGCTGTGTGTTTCAGCTTCTCAATAACCACCTGGGAAGGTCTTGGCGGTGGACTATCTCTAGCCTCCTTTCAAAGGGGAGGAAAATGATCCCCAGGGAGCTTCCTCTTGCTGTGGATCACACAGCCATCGTGTCGCCAAGTCCCCAGCTGGCCCTTGAACGCTCACCCCCTTTCCCCGGGGGCGGGGGGTGGGGTGGGCAGGGGGCTCCGGAGGCAGCATGAGAGAAGACCGGGCTGCCTGCCCCCTCTGCACTTCAGTGCCCCCAGTCTCTAAGTGGGAGATAACGCCCCAGCTGGTCCACCCACGGCCCTTGGGCTCTCTCCATCCCCCCACCCTGCAGACCTTGTTCACCACCAAGAAGTTCTCTATGGTTTTCCCATTGGCAAAGACCACGTCTCCAGTGTCCTTCACGGCCTCAGGCAGGATCTCCTTCACCTCCTGGGCGATGACACCTGGAGAGTGGGGGAGGGTGGGGTACAGAACACCCACAGCGCCAATTATAATGCAAGGAGGGCCCCCAAGTTTGAAGAGGGCGAAATTCTGAGGGCTAGAGATTTGGGATCCAAGGAGCACTGGAGCAGGGGGCTCCCACGGACCAGTGTTCCGAAGGCTGCCGCTCCCTGGCTCCGGTTGTGGGGTTCCCTGGCCTGGGGGAATGGTGGATTCCTGGGTGTAAGGCTCCCAGGGAAAGTGGGCCTGGATAGAGGCAGGATTCACCTAAGGAGCAGAGGATGCCGGGACCACGATTCCCGGACTTCTAGTGTCCCGGGCACCCAGGACTGAGGGGCGGGACTTCTAGAGGGCAGGATTCCCAGGCAGGAGTTCCAGGAGTCAAGGAGAGGGGTTCCTGGGAGTGGGGTTTCCAGCGGGCTGGGACAGAGTTGCCAGAGGACAGGGACAGGGGGCGGGGTTACTGCGGGCCGAGGCTGCTGGTTCCGGGACCCCAGCTCCCGTCGACGTAGGCAGGTCCCTACCCGTCTCTGGTGCCGTGGCCTCGATGCCTGCGGTGGCTGCAAATTCAGGCTTGTATCTGTAGTGCACCAGCCGCATGCGTGAGATCCTTTTCAGCTGCTCCGTGGTGTCCACCTGCACGGGAACCGGGGCCGAGACTGAACCCCTCCCCTCCTGGGCCCGTCCGAAGTAGGCCCCGGAGCTCAAGACGGTGGGGACCCAGGGTCTGCAGTGCGGAGGGGAGACCTTGCACCAGGGTCGAGCTCCAGAAATCTAGAGCCGGCCTCCCCCATCTCCTTCCCCTGCAGCCCCGCCCTTCCATC